CGGGGGGGAAAGTGATGGGGCGGGCAGGGGTTCGGTCCCTGGCGACTGAATTGACGCGCGTCGCCAGGGACGTCGAAGGGTCTTTTCGCGCCTTCGGGGTGGAAAACACACGGCAGTGTGGGCAGGGCGGTCGCACGTGCCACCGTCGACGATGCCATTTCCTGCCAGAAAGAAGCGACGTCGCGGGAGGTCCATCTCCGAAAGACTACTTGAGTCCTGCGCATCCCGACCCGTCTGTATGTCATCCACGCCGCGAAGGTGTCTCCAGTACAGCAGCCTGCCGCGCCTGCCGCAAGCCGCCCGCAACAACGACGAGGTGCTGCAAGCTTGGTCGTCGCGGATCATTGTAATCGTCGCTCTTGTATTCTTCTCGCCGCCAGTCTTCTCAACACGGATTACTCTCGCCGTGGCCTTCGTCCTTCTGTGAACCACGCGCACGTCGTCGTCTTTTTCCCACGGAGGACTGATCTCCTGCATCGCGGGGGTGTTCGTCGTCGTCACATCTTCTTCTTGCGGAGGACAGATCTCCTGTGTGCCACGTGCACGTCGTCGTCTTCGTCCCGCGGAGGAGAGATCTACTGCGTCGAGTGGATGTCCGTCGTCGTCGCGTCTTCCTCCCGCAGAGGACAGATCATCTGTCTGCCACGTGCACGTCATTGTCATCACGCCACAGCCGCACGGGAGACCTTTTTCACGGGAGACATATTTTTCGCCAGGTCGGTCACACTTCCCGCTCGTCCGATCACACTGCCAAGCTCGCCTTCAAAGGTCGCCACGAAACATGTCTATGCGGGGGAACACCTGTGGGAAGAAGCGTGACGTGGTCGTCGACGATAGTCAAAAGCAGGGAAGAGGGCGGCGGCAGGCCCCGAAAGCGAAGAGGGTGCGTACGGAAGATGCGTTGCCAAGGGTTCGTGGTCGTGGAGCGCAAGGTTGGGCGGGGGAAGTGGAAGGGGACTGTGACGATGAGTTCACGGCAGAGGAGGAGCAGGCGGAGGCGACAACGTCTGAAGTACGCGAGAGCAATCGGCAACGCTCTTCTGATCGCACCGCTTCGAAGAGGATGCAGACCCCTCCACACGAGGCGCAGCAACTGCATGGTCGTGAAACGCGGACAGAGAAGGCTCCCGTCGTCGATCTTGGCGGCGATGATGACGAGCCCTTGGAGAGACGCCGCATTCGCATTCGTACGACGGCGACCCCACCGCCGGAGGTGGTCGTGCGGGTTGCTACAAACGATAGGCCAGTCTCGGGCAGGCTGCCCGCCACGCCGTCTCAGCCACGTCATCGCAACGACGCTGGTGACGGAGGGTCCGTCCAACGTGTTGGCGGGGGGGAAGTCGTGGCAGACGCTCGCGCAGTTGGTGCCCAGGTGGCAGGTGCCGTGGGGGCGGTTGGTTCAGGCAATGTGGGCGCCGTAGCGACTGGGAGGGAGGACGCAGCAGTTGTGGCGACGACGAGAGAGGAGGCGCGTGGCGAGAGGAAAGTCGAGCGGGAGGCAGGCGAGGCCGGTTCAAGTCGGCCACGAAGGAGTGTAATGACGAAAGACCTCATTGATCGTGCCGTCCTTTGGGTCGATGACAAAGCTTTCTGGACGAYGGGGGAGGGGCGAAGACTATACAACATCGTACACGAAACGAAAGACTACTTCGTCGCCATCGCCAGTGGACTTCCAGCGCCTGACGTCCCTCGGAGCGTCGTTCTGCCCAAAGCCAGCACGCGCGTGGCCAGGATCGTCGACCAATCGCAGCTGCAGCAAGCGATCTCCCGTGCGGCGACAGTGGAGAACGTTGCTCTGCGCATCTTGCACGGATGGGTATTCAAGTCCGGAAATCGGCCAAGGGGATACCATGTGGCTTTCCAGTACTCGCTGGAATCCTTTGCGACGGACATTGCGCGTGCCATGTGGTACGGCGAGGAGTGGTGCGAGCTTGTCAGTCCGGCGATTTGCGTGCACACGAGAGATCTGTTCATGGACCTACCGCTTTGGTTCGCCGGCGCCAACATCGAGGACAGACCAGAGGACAACGACATGGCGGCGCACCAGGAGTCCACTGTCATCCGCGTCGCGTATGCATTCCACACGGCCGTGCAAATGGAGGCGCTCATCGACAGCGAGTTCATATCGCACGATCGTCTTTCTCGGGTGGCTGATTGCTTCAGGCTGTTGTTGGCGGCGTGCATGTGGATAATGCGCATGGCGGAAGATGATCCGCACAGCCACTACGAGGCTTTCTACTTCGTGGACCTCGTGGCGAAGCCCACACTCGTCGCGGCCATGCATCGCTCCTTCAATCATCGACGATCCGTCGTCCGCGCCGCGAAAGTCGTCACAGACAGGCTAGGGAAGGCGACCGCTACGTTCGGACAGTACCCCAACTACATACCTCAATGGGCGCCCTGCTGCATTGCTTTCAGGCACGACGCGAGCATAACGGGGCCGGAGGATGCAAAGAGCCAGATTGGTTGGGTTCCGGCCCCCCTGATGATGACAACAACGACGATGGGAAAGATGACGCGTAGGGGGGGGGGGGGGGGGAGGTTGGGGCTGATGGTTGGCTGGGGAGGAAGACGGATGGGATGGGAGCGGAGGTTTGGCTGCTTCTATGGACTCGCGCGCATGTAGTAGTGGATGGTCGTCATGCGGAAGGATGGGGTTGCACCGACGCAAAGTGCGCACCTGTTTAGTGTGTCGGAGCGAGGGATTCCGCAAGATCGTCGTCGGTTGCGCACTTGTTTAGCACGTCGCCTCTGCCACGAAGTCGGGTTGATAGGTTTGAATGGTTTGTGGTGCGTCGGGGTACAGGTGTGCAGTGTGTCGGTCGTTGTAGTCGACGACGATATCATTCAATGTCGTCATGTATTGTGTACTTATATTCGCAGCTCGCTGCGCGAGAAGTTCATAGCGCTTTCAACGCACTCTTTTTTTATGTGATGTGTCCGTTGTTCTCGTGTCTTCTGTCAAGTTCTGTCGAATGATTGCAAGGTGATTGCAGATGATCGGCTCCTATGCATGCACGCAATCCATGTTCATCTATGTCTGTTTTTTGTGTTACGCAGTTTAATAATGTGAAGCAGCTTGCATCAACAATTTCAAAACACGTCTGTCTGTCGTCCTGCCAGAGAAGCGAACGATAACATGCGCGACTGAAGATTTGAAGAGGCACACAAAAACAAATGAAAAAGGATTTGAGGATGCAGAAGAAGAAAAAGAAGAAAACTTATCACCAAACCGAAACATTCGAGACATGCGATTTGAAGACACAGTCACCGAAAAATAAAAGTACGAAAATAAATTAAAACAAAAAAATATAAAAAAAAAAAGAAAACCAAAACCGAGAGAGATACACAAAAAAAAGGTTCTTCCAATATGAAACGTTCGTACAGCTGTACGAACCACGCAACCGTCCAAACGACGAAACAAGAAAGGAAGTCACAGATGACAGCCATGCCGCCATACAATCGACCCAGCTACTTCGCGCAGTGTTGCCAACGGACGCGGCCACGTGC